CTCCTTTGTGATCTAGCACCTTGATACTCACAAGGGTTTGCTAAGATGCAGAATCTATGACAAAGTTGCACTTTTGGCCATCCAGCTTCCCTGTCATGTAGACACTATGTGTGCTTGCCATTTTACACTTAGCTGTTGGGACTTTCACGATGGGGGTTGATAGGCGTCCCTCAGCACCAACCACTGTTGGTTTCCCCGAGGTTGACTTATTAGTAGTATTCTTCTTACACTGGCTCCTCATATATCCTTGCTCTCCACAGTTCCAACAACCTTTCTGGGTAGCAGCCTTTCCTGCCATGGCATCTTCCCTATGTTAAACTGTCCAGCATTGAGCTTTCTTGTGCCCAGGTTTGTTACAGTGCCAGCAAAGTCCCTCAAACTTCTCCGAAAGCTGACCTTTTCTGGCCTTGAATCCAGGTGACTGTACCAACCTTGGTACATCTGTACTGGAATTAACGTAGGATTCAAATTCAAGAGCTCTGGCCATTGCATCCTGCATAGTAGAGGGGTGTACTTACTTTACTTGTATCTTCAGTTGTGGACTGTCCAAGACATCTACAAACTGATTCTTCAGCAACAGCTTCAGGACATTGGGTGATGCAGTTGGGTAGGCCTTGTGTGCCATACTTTCCAAATCCTGTGCCAACTCTTGCAAGCTCCCTCCTTTAGCACGGACTCTCGTCTTAAACCTAATCCTGTAAACTTCAGACTGATTTTGAGTTCCATACCTGAGAGGTTGTTCCTTCAGGCTCGTTGCCAGATACACTGCTTTTTGCTCCTCTGTCCATCCATTTATTTCTGCCAGGAGCTCAAATTGTGCTCTATATGCTTGCCATGGTGCCTTCCCATCGAATTCCTGTGGCTTCCTTCGTATTAGATCACCCGTATTGCTGACACTCATGTCTGGAATGTGACTTCTGGCAGGACTGAAGATGTCTGCATTATGGTTTAGCTGCGGGGTCTGGAAGGGGCTTCCTGTTGATTGGGGCTGATTGGGTCCATGGTTAATATATCCTCCCTTTGTAAAAGACAGTAAATCGTCCTTTAATGTATTTAATTCACTTTCAAATTTACTAATGTTTTCCATTTGTACTTCTTGCCACTGTTGTTGACTTTCCTGTAGTTGCTGCTGACTTTCCCGCAACTGTTGGAGACTTTCTTCCTGTTTCCTTTCTTGTTCCAGTTGCCACTGCTGTGTTCTCTCTCTTCTTGTTTATTTTCTTTCTTCTCCAACCACTGCTGTAGTCTCTCTTCTTGTTTATTTTCTTTCTCCTCCAACCACTGCTGTAATCTCTCTTCAAGTTTATTTTCTCGTTATTCTTGTTTCTTTTATTTTCCGCCAACAACTGTTGTAATCTCTCTTCTTGTTTCTTTTCTCGTTCTTCTTGTTTCTTTTGCTGTTCTTGTATTGCTGCTATCAAATCTGCAAAGTCGTAGTTTGATTTGCCACTTCTGGTTTCCATCTTCTTTTCTTTCTTTTTGGTCCCGCTCTCTGACACCAATTTGTTACGTTTCTCCTCGTTTGATAATTTACTTAATTTCCGGTATAAGTTCTTTCCGAGGAACTTCAGCGATACAAGTCCTTTCTTAATTAAAACTAGGTTATACAACTTTGTAATACACTTAACAACTTTTATAACACACGCTATAAATCACATTGATTCACATACTTTACTTACGGTGCCTACTGTTCGTTTGACTCAATTATCTCTACCTTCAATCTATCTGTATATATCTCTTCGATCAGGCTGGTTTTTCTCGACAAGCTTATATACTAAAAAAGAGGGCGCTCGAATAAACTAGAGTTGCCAGGAAAATTCATGATCCTTCCAGAAACTCCAGCGCGCGTGCTCCCAGCGTCGCGTGACCTCTGCTGTCGTAACAATATTAGCTATGAGTTTAATACCTAAATTAATTGCTAAATTAATTTATATCAAATACAATTGAAGATGCAAACAATTATTGTTAAAAAATATATCATGAGTCGCTAACACTGGATTTACAAATAAAGCCAGGGCAGAACTTCAAAAGGAATAGTAAAATATGTTCTAACTGGTGATGTATCTGAAAACGCAGGTCATGTCTACGGGCATCACTTATCTGATTTAAACTGTTTTCGTAAGCCTTATGCGTAAAATAAAAATATACCGAAATTTAAAGTACATGTGGATGTTTTTACTCTCAATGTACTTAAACACTATTCACTGCGTTCCCACAGCCAGTTATAAGAAGATAATTCTTTGGCATAAGAGCAGAAAATAAAAATTAAAACATGTTATCAGTTGCAGAATTCACTAGAGGGTGAGTTACATTTATTTCTTGAATTTAAGTCAATTTCCCTAATTATTTAAAATTCTATAATAAATACATAATGAAAAAATGGCGAGATAAATTCATATCAATAGACAATTAATTAGTTTTCGTTCAGAAAAATAAAAGTAGTTTCTTTCTTATGTATGGTATGAAATCTTTATTTTTTTCCCTAATTATCTTTAATACTCATTGTTTATTTATGATAATATTCCACGTTTGTTTTTCATCGTTTTAGTTCTACCTACTTAACATTTTGTTTTTAACCGATCTTCTTATCACATCTTCATTTTGCTTTATTTATTGTCTAGTTTTCCTCGACAATTTATCTTTAAAAAAACAACCTCTCTAACCACTTTATATGTAACATTCTAGTTTATTTTGGTATTGCGTAACAAAAATGAAACACTTTTTGTTTTAGATTGATTTTTTAACCTACATGTTTTCCTAACATCATAAGGGCGTGATGATAGCTGGAAAACCTAGAATGTTAACTGTGATAATGCTCTTAATGATATGTAGGATATCTAAAACAACCTTAACACTGAAAAATCTTGCTGTGCTACTGAATAGATCCCCCATGGAAAGATTATTTTTTTTTATGATGTATACTGAGTGTCACTCACTTTCGTATGTCCCCGGGTGGGACAGCGGTAAGTTTACAGACTTACAACACTCAAATCTGGGGGTTCGATTCCCCGCGGCGTACACGGAAGATAGGCCAGTATGGCTTTGCTCCAAAAAACAAAAACGCTTTCACATATAATTGTTATATCATGAAAAACATAGTTCTAATTTTACATGAGAACCAACTATAAATGTTTTATAAAAGAAACCAGCAAAAGTATCCAGCAATGTCAGGCTTACAGAATAATGTTATAAATGGTGTCATTGTCGTCCGCATTCCATTATTTTGAACTGTAGTACATGAATTGTTCATCTGGTACAGTGATCCAGTTCATTGAGGCTGCTGGCATTCCTGTTTCCATTTCTATTAATGTGGACCAGCTCGATCTTCACATACTTGTTTTCTAAATAATACCTAAATAAGAGATGACAAGGAGGATGAGATATTTCATGATATAAAATGGCACCCCAAATCCTGAACACTTTGCAGAAACCACAGTTCAGCTGAAAGTAGTCCAAACTTCAGTTTCAGCCTTCATCATCGAGTTTACTCATTATTAGTGTCGCCAACAACACCTGAGCCTACCTCGTACATGTTAGCAACACCACAACAGTGAACGGAGAAAAAAGAAGCCAGAAATGTGTCACCTACTTAACAATGGAATACCAGGGAAACAACGACATCATAGCAAAATAAGATGTTCCCTACTCTGAGATCACGGCTTTGAAAAGCAAAAACAATAGCTAGCTGATCTGTTGAAAAGAAAAACTGAAGATAAGCTGACAAAATACCTGAAAGCATCCCACTCAACAAAACTGTTCATATCTGCTCCAATGTACAAGTGTGCTATTGTGTCAATGAGGCACAAAATTACAATTGCCACTACTTCAACACCAGATTCTGTATCATCATCGACCGGATGATCAGGGACATAGGAATTACCAACATATCCCCAAAAGCACTATCCTATTTCAAATAAGTGATGCAGTGATGACAACTCGGGTCACAAGATGGGCTACTTTTGGGACGAACAATACAGGGAAAATAACAATAAATATTCTAAAGTAGCAGAGACACTTCATCAGACCAAGATGTACTTACATAACACACTGTAAAAACTGATCCAAACAAACAAGGGCATCAGGAATCAGCCTTCTGATGGTAAGTAATCGATTATATTACCAACCTACCTACCCCTTTTCAGTTACTTTCATGTTTGTTATTACCAAACAAGCTGGTGATAACTGTACAACTACTGTGAATATCAAACAATGAACTCTCAGTTAACGAAAATACAATGTACGTTTTCGTTATAAATGTTTGTATTGCGTACGCATTCCCAGTTTCATAATTCTTTAAACAAATATATATTTTTTTATTGTTGTGCTTCTTAAATAGTGAGTGCATATTTTCAATAATGTACTATCCTTTGGATCACGAGTTATAAGTAATTCAATGTGTTTATTTTTGCCTTCGTAATTGCACTCCACTACCAGAACACCAAGTCAATTAACAAAGACAGGGGGTCGTTAGGGGGGGGGTTATATAAGGTCGTAAAAGGCCGTTAAAAACAAGAAGATAGAACGGCGGTAAGCATGGAAACGTTTTGTGGTTCGAAACTTTGGGTAAGTTTTGTTGTTGTTTTTTTTTAAAAAGAAAAACAACAATATGTGAAATATAAATAGCATAAAACTCTTGGAAGCTGTTATATCAATAATGTTATTTCTTATCTATTGTTTTATCTCAGAACTGTCGAGTTGAATTAGAAAGATACTGAGATAGGCTTTAGACTTACCGAGTTACTCTTAGTTTAGTTTAAATAAGTAAATTACTGCGTGACGGTATAGTAATAGTAATACACTAGTTTAATTAAGTATTCGTATGTTGTTGTAAGTAAAACTTATTTATAAAGAACTATGGGTTTGATATAACATTTTTCTTAAGTTTCGCTTTGTTGCGTTAACATTAATAAATGTCTTGACGAATGTTTGCGCCATTGTTTAGTCTTGACTAGTTTAGACCTCATTACTACTTGTACTACTAGGTTCTGACGACAGAGGCCGTGAACTATAATTAGTTTAAATTTTTGATATTAATAAACTAACTGTTCTTAATGTACAAAATATTGTACGATGAATTGTAACATCAGATTAATTTACGTAAAGATAAAGTATTATTAGTGCTGATACAAAGTATATTACATATTAGAATAGCACCCACATGTAGTACTAAAGAATTGAAATTATTTTAATGTAACCTAAACAAAGCCAAAGATAAATTGAATTTAATTTTTAATATTTATAGTTTAATAAACTTTAGTACTACTACTAGTAGCTATAAGCTGTATGACATTGTCTGTCATCATTCACACTAACTTCAAATTTACAAGAACTGAACCTTGAAATAAATTAACAAATCCATCCTAAATTTGAAATTCCTTTGTTGTTTAAGTTTTAACTTAAAAATTAATACTACTACAGAGGACTGTGACCATCATTTACTTAGATTTTAAAATACCATAGGTGTTAGACTTATGTATCATCTTTAATGAACTCTCCACCAATTACAATATACTGGCAAGTTTTATCGGTTACAGCTTTTATAGTTTTCATTACATGAGAAAAGTACAAAACTTTAGTAGGTAAATGTATTTCTCTGCTGGTACATTAAAAACATATAAATTTTGATATGGTGAAAACAACTTTTCTTACTGTGTGTACTTAACCATTACATTAATTTTAGACTAATCTTTCAAGTTGGTTTTGATTTTTACATTTTATCTTCACAACATGGAACTGTATCTAAATTCCAAATAAAATTTGAATTGTAATGACTTGTTTCTATATTTAACCATTATTTGGCAAAAAATGTTTGTGTGTGTGTAAGTACTTATAATTGACAAACCTAACATGTCCTCTTAAGGTCCCTGGTAGTGACATGAGGGAGGGGAGTATTTGAATATGATTACCTTATTTCTCCTCCGTGCATTGTGTCTACTTATAACTGACTGACCACTGAACTGGTTGTCACCAACCTTTCATAAACTCTTAGAGCCCCAAAGATTGATGTGGGCAGTGAGCAGTCGGATATGACCCAGCTATATCTTCATTTGTGTGTTGCACAGGTGCATTGGGCTGATACAAATAGAAGCATAAGAATAATAGTACTCATGGTTGTGATATAGTTATTGTGTATCTAGAATTGTCATAAATTACAGTGTGTTGACATCCTGTTTACATGTAATACTTGTCACAGTGATATATATATATATATACCACATTATCACTATATTTATCAAATGTATGATAGCTTAAAGGGTAATAAAATGATTACATATGCATGGGTTGATGATATTTACTTGAAGGATTTTTTGCTTATATTAACTGCTAAGAGAATAAGTGTTAAAATTGGTTCCTTAAAATATTTTGGGAATTTGTGAAAGAAAGTAATACACCTGAAGTGCTTAACAGTTTTATTATTAGCAATGTAGTTGAAATAATCATAAAAGCCTAACTTGCAGTTGTGTGTGCAATTTTTGTCCCCTAACATCAAGAAAGACATTATTTAGATGTAAGCTACATGTGTAGGGAAAGGCTTATTTTTGGATATATATTTGTATATATTTGCCCCATCACAGAGAACACTGATGGAAGTATAGTACTCGACAGAATTTGATAAGATACATTGACACCTAAATACAAAATATGCAATGAAGAGTATGTTTACCTTTTCTGGTTAAAGAGAAAATAATAGGTCTACAAAAAAGATAAAAATGATACTGTGTACTTCAGAGCATTCATAATTTGTTTAGTACATGTAGTTGATTTCTTAGTGTTAGCTGAAACAAAAAGTATTAACCTTAGAATTACTGCTATATTCCATTGTCTTTTTTTATGTGTTATTTTTATACTGTTTATCTATTAAATTGCGTATGGGTTCAGGACTTTGTCACCTAATAACATGTAATTCTCGCACAAGAATAAACAAAAATACCACAAATATTTCAATTAACCCTTCAGATTATTGCTGTTTTCCATTATGTATGTTATACAGAGAGTAAGTTATTTCATTCTTTTTTCTTCTTTTTTTTTACTGGTTAGTTCTTTATGTTAAGTGTTGTATTAGAAACCTAAAATTACTCAAAATGGAGAAATATGTAGATGTCACTAATAGAGTTTGTTGGTTGGAAATTACACCTTAATGCATGTAGGTTTGTAAAATACAGTAAGTATTTTGTTGGACAGTTGGCCTCTACTTGCCCTATTCAGTGTGGCATCCACTGTTCCAACATCCCTTCTCTCTTGGGAGCTGTCTTGTTTGAAGTGGATGGTTGGAATCTACAATTCAGTCTTGATCCCCATCCAATATCTCATCCACTTGAGAGTCTTTCACAATTCACATGCAAGGTGGGCTCAGCCTTCTCCTTTATATCTTTCAGATATGAGCTTCTGATACCAAGGCTCACATATCTCCTTATTTTCTTGCATGAAGGATTTGTCTCTTTTTGGAAATTCTCTCCTCTCTCACATCTCTTCTTCCTCTTGGGCATGTCCATTTCAGTGTCTTATGGCCAGTTAATGCAGTATATCCAGAGATCCTTTGTCTCCTCTTGTGTCTCTCTCTCTCCTTTTCACCTCTTATTGTCATGGTGGCTCAATGAATCCCACATAACCCTGGGCATCCCTCAGCCCCACCTTACCCAGACTTGCATCTGTTTGGAGACACCTAGTGGCTCAATGGTAAGTCTGAAGGCTTATAACACTCTAATATTTAGGTTTTCATACCCATGTGGGTGTAGCGCAGGAGTTCATTGTGTAGCTTTGCAGTTAACAATAATCCAAACCTACAAACCTAATCTGTCAAGTGATGTCTCTGTTCAGGTGGGATATAGTTTTGGACACCTGCTCCATTTCCGGAGTCTAGACTCCAGAGGTGTGGTCTCTCTAGATCTACATCCTATAGGTGATGGCTATTCAGTGAACTTTCCATTATTTTCTGGTTCTTCCATCTGATCTTCTTATCCTGATCCATTCAGACAACTCCATTGTTGTTTTCTTCCATCAACTGACATTGAGACATTTGCTCTTGGGACTTCTTTTCTTACTCTAGATTTTCTATTTTAGGCCCACAACCACTAGATTTAGTTGTAAGCCTATCATATCCTGGGAGCTTTGACCCTGTTAGTGGATCAACAATCTCACCTATACTGGATCTATTCCACAGAGTTATCTTGCCTCCTCTGGTGTTTTCAGTGGATTTGCCCCCACTTTTTGAGCCCTTCACAACTGCTTTCAACACTTAGCTTTCACTTTTTCTATATCCAGTTCTATATATCTGGCAGCGGATGCTCTGCATCTTCACTTTTTCAATCACATTCTTTATATCTATCCTTCTCTTTGACTTCTTCCCATTTCTACTATTTGCAGTTACAGAATGGTTTTGTATACAACCTTCCATCTCTTTTGCAAGCATTCTCTATTTCTTCTCTATCCTTGAAGATATATTCTGAGCCTTCTTCATTAGTCATCCTCCTTCTCTGGTTCCTCTTCCAGTCTGGAATATCAGTTCAGTCCACCAGGTTTTTCATGTCCCTTGATATTTTTATCTTAGATGTCTCCCACACACACTATCAAAGAGATAAGTTGAATTTATGCCTGGAATATTTTTCCTTCTCAACTCTTGGGTTTCTCAGGAGAGTGATTGTATGTTTTCTCCAACCATTCTTCATTCCATTTCTTCTCTATACGATCATTTCAACCCTGATTGACAGTTTGGACAGTTTTATGTAATGTAGCTCGTATTGTTTTTATACATGGCAGTCAACACAATCTTTTCTTGCCATGGGGTTTCTCTTCTTTTTGTGACTTCTTTCCTTCTACTTTGATGGATTGGATTCAATAACTCTATGTCTTGTTTATTTTTCATGGGAGAGAACACCTTTCAAGTTTTCATATTCCCTGCCATCCTGTTTGTTATCTCATGACTTTGCTTGGAACTCACTACCTGGTTGGTGTTGTCTCACAGGGACTTCTCTCTCTTCAGAAATCTGCATCAAGTAAAGGATAACTTTCCAGCTCCAAGCCACTGGGGTGGTGGACCATGGAGGCATCCTCCTGAATGAGATAATGAGAAACAATATATACACTAAACTATTCGGTTGAGAGTAGGGTGGTGGTGTTCTGCTGGTGTAAATTACAAGTTTTCTTCCATTTTATATATCTTGAGAATGAGCTGTCAAAAATTGCAGTTCAACCCTCATCCTACCCCCACATATAACTTGGTTCCCAGTGGCTGGGTGTTGGATTTAGAGCTGAACCAATCAACATAAGTCCTCGCAGATGTCTGTATTCCCTCACTCAATTCTACTCTTCTTACTCCATCCGTGTTATGGCTCACGGTGGAGGTACTTGCAGATTAATATGGTTTTTCTCCTTCTTCTATCCCTCGATGTTCTTATTATTTCAAGGATGTTACTGCGCTTGGAGTGGTTCCTGTCATTTTGATTTGAGTGAGATGGTTTACATCACACAGACATCTTTTCGATGCTGGATGTTGGGTTCCTGAATTGAATCAATTTCTCACATTGCTATCATGTGTCCTGTTCATAGGTTGGGGTACAAGATTCCATCCGGCCTCATGAACTTGAGGTGAATAAGGTATGGTCCTCTTTCCTAGCCCCACCTGATGGATAGTTTTTGAATTGTAGTTGACTTGCTGCTGATATGATATTCTTTCCTACCCCCACATGGATGTCGGTTCCTGGCAGCCTGGATTTTAGATGTATTTGACTTGCTGTGTACAGTCCGTTGTGCCTTAGCTGCTCTACACTTGGAGGCACATCTTTTTACTCACACCCACAATTATGTATTATGGGATTGAGATTCATGTATCGTGTAGTTCGGATCCCTATCCAACTGTAGCTACTCCCTATTTCCACTCATATCTGCAACACTTTTTTCCACACTGGGTGAAGAGTATACCTGGTACAGAAGTGGTATGGTCTCCCACATATAATCTTCAACTCCGAAGATCTCTTTGGGAGTGTCCTTCAGATACTTCTTTCTTTGCCTCCACCTGATCAATGTGGGATTCTAGCTGTTTATGTGAATGGAGGTAATGTACCATATCAGAAGTTATAATTTTCTTATACTGAAAATGTATTTCTTATAGGTACTTACCTCTTCTAACACTCCCCACCTTTCCTCCC